TTTGCATGAACACTTATCAAGATTTACTTGTATTCCTCTCTATGTTATAATGAATCTTAAGGATTTTCCTCCGCCAACTCCAAAAACACATTTTTCTGGATTTAATCTCATTTTATATTTTCGTACTTTAGCAAATGCTTTTTGTAAATGTTGACAATGGTCATCCATTTTCCTAGACTTAATAACCATATCATCCACATATACTTCCATTATGTCTCTTATCAAATTTTTAAATATTTTAACCATTCACCTTTGATAAGTTATTCTAGTATTTTTCAATCCAAAGGACATTACTTTATAACAAAAGTTAGCACCTTTAGTAATAAAACACAATTTTTTCTTCATCCAGTGGGTACATCAGAATTTGGTTATACCAAGAATATGCATATAGAAAACTAACAATTTCATATCTAGAGGTATTATCCACTAACCGATCTATATTTGGTAAGAGATAAGAATCCTTAGGGTATGATTTATTCAAATCAATGTAATCAATGTACATGCACCACTTGCCATTAGACTTTTTTACTAATACTACATTGGTTAACTAGGTATTATACTTTACTTCTCTAATAAAGTTTGCTTTTGATAAATTTTCAACCTCTTGCTCTATTGCTTTATATCTTTCTTCTCCTAACTTTCTTTTTTTTTAGTTATAGGTTTTACACTAGGTAATATAGCAAGTTTATTATACATAAAATTTGGATCAATACTTGGCATGTCCATAATGTTTCAAGCGAAAAGGTCAGCATTTTGATGTAGTATTTCTTCTATTTGATTTTGCAAATAAGAATTTATCACCTCTCCAATCCGAGTTATTTTCTCGAGATGTAATTCGAGTTAGAATTCAGATCTTAGCTTGTCCAAGCTCGGACAATCATCTTTTGTTTCGTGTCAAGGATCAACATCTACTTCTTCAATGTTATTGACAAATGTTTGTTGAGAATGACCTTCTCTAATTCTCTTTAAAGAATAAGGTTGGGTTTTAAGATTGAGTGCATAATATTCTCTGGTTTCCTTGGGATCTGCTTTGATTGTCACTATACGCCCCCCTTTAACAGGGAATTTCATGGTCATATGTGGTGTAGAAACAATGGCTTCAAGCTGATTTAATGTTTTTCTTTCTATCAACACATTATAAGAAGTGATAACTTCTATTAATATATACCTTACCAATAGATTTCTACTTTCTTTGCCACTTCCAAAAGTTGTTAACAAATCAATATATCCACGTGTGTGAACTCATTCCCCCAACAAATCCAACTAGTGGATCAAGATATGACTATATCAAATCATGCAAAATGTTCATCTTCAAGAAAATGGTCCAATAGAGTATATCGGTTGAGCTTCTTGATCTATCAACGTTTTCTTTAATACATAAATTAGTAATATAGATAATGACCATCATAGGATCATCTTGTACAAGATCATTTGTACTAAAATCTTCATCTGTAAAAGTGATGGGAGGTAGTGTTCTTGGCTCTTGTGACTGAATTATATTGACATTGCTTATAGCTCTTAAATGTCGTTTATAAGTGAAACTTGTATTTTCTCCACCCGCAAAGCCTTATGCAATGGTATTAATGACTCCTCTCATTTTCCTTTAATCATTTAGGGTGCTTTGGGGATGATCATTCGTTGATTGCCCTTCTATTTTGGTATGGTCATGTCCTCATTCTCTTCCTCCAAATCGTCCAAGCCTTCTCCCATAATGACCTCTATAACGACTTGAAATGTAACCTCGGTCATGCATGTAGTGCTGAATGAATTGATCTAAAGCTCTTGCTCGAGTAAGGTCTTCCAAAATTTTTATGACCCTTTTGCAATTTTCTATAGTATGTTCATAATTCTGATGCCACGTACATTGCTTTTATTTGTTTGCATCTTAGGGTGTGACAAATGACTCTATTATCTTAATAAGCTCCAAGTTATAGGATCCTCATAGGATTGTTTCGATGCTAACATTAAGAGGAGTGAATTTTCTTCCCTTTTTTCTTTCTTCTCTTTTGTATCTTTTATCTATGGTGTACTTGTGAGATGAATCTTCTTTCTCTAATAATTCTCTCTTCTTTCTCAATTCCTTCCTCTAATTGCATGAATCTAATATAGCGAGTTCTAAGCTCTTCTATTGATTCAAGATAATCCATATATATATATATATATATATATATATATATATATATATATATATGTTGTTCATAAATGGTCCTTATCTTAAGTTGGATATTATCTTAAGTTGGATATTAGGGATTGAATTATCAAGTTGTGAGAAAGATAACTCAAATTGAGGCTAACTTCGCCGAATCTCTACAAACTTCCTTAATAGTTCACCTCTTTCTTGTCTTAGCCCTTGTCAGTAAATTCATTTAGTGCATTACAAGGGAAACAAGAAAGAAGTGAAGAAAATTCACTCTTCTAAATGAATATACTGATCTAGTGGAAAGATCATATAACCATTTGAGAGCGATCCCTTTAAGTGTCATGGGAAAGACCATGGATAAAAGAGCATAATTTTCTTCAAATACAATTATTTGAATTAAATAAGACCAAAGATATGCTCGTTTGAATTTGATCCACCACCAAACCTTTCCTTTGCTAGGGCTTTCCATATGTTGGGCAAAGCTTCTACTATAATTGTTGAAGTCAATGGGCTTCCTAGTTTCATCCGAGATGGTGGTCCTGGAATATGGTGGGTCTCTACCTTCCTCATACTCGATCTTAGTTCCACTTTAGTTCGAACATCATGTCTCTTCACAGGTTGGTAATTTGTACAACATCTAAGATTGATGTTTAGATAAATAAGGATGTCTTAAAGAAAATCGAAATAAAACCCTTAATTGTCACTTTACTTATCTATTTTGTTTTCTAAAAACCTTTATTTCTTCACGACGTCTTCCGTTTATCATGTTGAACTTTTCTTAGTTTTACTTTTACATTTCTTCCATTTAGAGTTTTAGAGAATTGATAATATTTTATACATTCATATCGATAGATTGAGATAATCATTAGACAAAGTGGTATGGTTTGTATTTCACTGGATCCATGATGTACACCAAATGTTATTGAAAAAAAAATATAAGAAAAATAATTTAAGTATCTTGAACTAATTAGTCTTGTTCACGAATAATAAAAATAATTTAAGTATCTTGAACTAATTAGTCTTGTTCACTGAATAATTTGATCATGTTGAATAGGAAAAATAGGAAAATTCACTTGCAAGACATATCCATACTTAAGTATATAATTATTTTTAAAGATATCCTATAATATCATTAAATAACATTATTTATAAGTTTCTTATCAATATTATTTTATATAATAAATAATATTCATTAATATATTTAATATAATATTTTACATAAATATTTCTTATACACTATTGAGTGTCATTCCATATAATTATTTAGAGGGAATACGTTAACGTTATGATCTTAACAAGTATAGTTGTGAATGTTGTCCTTTCTGTTTCCTCCTTCTTTTATCTTCTTGTGAATTTTTATTTTTTTTTCCCTTGTGCTACCGATCACCTTTCTACCTTTACTTGTGTCAATCTAGTCCTTTATAGTATGGGATACGAGAACGGCAAAGGTGGGTGTAACAAGAATATGGGTGTACAGAGACTTGGGGAAAGAAAAAGAAATTTAAAAAAAGTAAGTGTACGAGTTGAGTTGAGTTAAGTTAAATAAAAATAAGGAGAATCAGACGTAGAGCTAGGGCCGTGCCCCTCCACCCCAAAATTTTGATTTATATATATATATATATATATATATATATATATATATATATATATATATATATAAAAAAATTAAATATAATTACTTTTTAAAAATAAAAAATTAATTATTATATATTTTTTATATTATTTTTCATATAATTTTCTATTTATATCTTTTTTTCTCTTTCATTTTTTTTCCTCTTCTATCTTTTCAATTTTTATACTTTAATTTTAAATATTCATTTTTTACTTTCTTATTTATAGTTTTTTTTACCTACTTTTATCTTTCATATTTTCATCTTATAATATAAACATTCAAAAATTTTCTCTTTAATTTTTATATTTTTCTTAAAGTAAACAATTTTTTTTATTTTTTTCATTATTATAACACATTATTATGTATATTATTTATTATCAATTAATTATTTTAATATTTTATAATATTTAATATTAATATTAAAATATAAAAAATTTAAATTTTAAAAATTTTATGTAAAAAAATTATATATTTATTTTTACAAAAAATATATATAATAAAATAAATTTTAACTTACTAACGAATAATATTAAAAATATTATTAAACAATATAAACTATATAATTTATAATATAAATATTTCAAACATTATTAAAATATATTTAAATATATATATATATATATATATATATATATATATATATATATATATATATATATACTATATCATAAATAATAATGTATATATATTATTCATTATTGACTCTCACAAAAAAACTCTAATTCTGTCATGATTATATACCTGTTGCGAAGAAAAGAAACAGATGAGGACAGATGGTTAGAATATTTTTTAATTTTATTAATAAATTTGATACAATTTTATTTAAACTACAAATATTATTTTAATGTATATTTTATTTTTAAATATATTTAGGATAAAATACCTATTTCTTTTTAAATTTTCTTAAATTAAATAAAATATATTTTTTAAAATTTAATTTTTAATATATTTTATTTTTTATTTTATTATATTATTCAAAACTTTAATTAAAGTATTTTTTTTAAATGAAAAAATATATTATTAATTTTTTAAATAAATATAAAATATAAAAAATCAAAACCAAAAAAAAAATTATTATTTTAAAAAAAAATGAAAAATATAAGAAGAAAGCATGGAACCACTATTTTACCATAATTGACCTATTTATGAGGCCCTCAGGCATGCCGATCCGGTTAACGTACACCTCTTCCCAAGAGTTTAAATAGCAGCTTACGTATTCAGGGAAGGGTTTAGGGTTTTTGACAAACAATGGATGAAGAAAAGCGTGTGGCGGTTCTACCATGGCTGCGCCATCCCGTCGACCTCACTCGCGGTGAACAACTCTGCGTTCGTATGGTTCCTTTCATGGACCGCAGGTTCTCCCCTCTCCAACAACTAATTAATTCCAATTTCATGCGCATTAAGTACGCTATCTATCGTTTTTTGAATTAATTAATTCCACTCACAATTTTCAATTTCACTAGGTTAAAGTCGGTTCTAGAGAACATGGAGATCTCGAACCTCTTCCCAGTTCAAGTGGCGCTTTGGCATGAAACTGTGGGACCAGGTAACTTTGAACGAGATCTTTGCATAAACTCGCCCACAGGAAGTGGCAAAACCTTGGCCTATGCTCTTCCAATCGTGCAAAAGTTGTTACCTTCTTCCACAATCAAGTGCCTTCGTGCTTTGGTTGTGGTTCCCACCCGTGACCTTGCCTTGCAGGTTAAACAGGTTTTCGACGCCCTTACATTGCCATTGGGCCTGCGTGTTGGCTTGGCTGTTGGTCAATCTTCGGTTGTTGATGAGATTTCTAGTCTCGTACACGTACCGGGGGAAGAGGAGGGTCCAAATCCTGGGTTTTTCTCTCCGTTCTGGTTTCAAAGCAAGGTGGACATATTGGTGGCAACCCCCGGAAGGCTTGTGGACCATGTGAACATGTCTAGGGGTTTCACATTGAAGCATCTTCGTTATCTAGTGAGTGGTGGAATTGGTTACTAGACACTCTTTGATAGAAATGATTGTTATATCTTGTTTCAAATTTAAAAGTATATGCTGTCATTGTTCTCTTTCACAAATACAAGTTAGTATGTTTTTAAATTTATAGACAAATAAAAATCTTTTTGTTTTTTGAAATTAAACTCAATTTATGTAGTTTGCCTTATGTTGACTAGTTAAATGGTGTCAGGTAGTTGATGAAGCAGATCGGTTGCTCCGGGAGGACTACCAGTCCTGGTTACCGACTGTACTTAAATCGACACAATCTAACAACGATGATGTTACTGGGGATGATGATGTTTTCCAATTGGGGTTCCCTTATTCTCCCTTTAATAGAAGATGGTGGGTTTAAAATTTGTTTGATTTTTCCTTGAAATGTTGGTATCAATGAAATTGGAAATAATTATGTCTTATTATGTATTGCTCAGTGGGTATAACATGTTGGTTAAGTGGACAACTGCCGCACGTTCATTATCTAAGTTCTGATAATATGTGCTAGTAACTACTATGTCAATTAGAAAAAAAATTAAAGAATATATTAAATAAGCAAGGCTTTATTCATCTAGTAGATGGACCTGGGTTTCTTTGGTTTCTTGTCCATGCTAATAAAGCAGCGTTGAAGTATTGGTTTTTCTTTTATTGTTTTTTTTTGTCTTTGTCATCCTTTCATTTAATAGACAAATGGATGCTCATCATACTTTTGTTTGGCTGTGGCTGTTTCTATAGTAGTGGAGTTGAGAGGGGGTCCAATCCCCACCATAGGCTGGCAAAGGTGGTTTTATCTGCGACATTAACTCGGGATCCAGGAAGGCTTGTTCTGCTTAATTTGCATCACCCTTTATTCCTAAGTGCTGGACAAATGCGTTATCGTCTCCCAGAAAACTTGGAAGCATACAAACTGGTATTACATTGGACATGAGTTTTTCTTTCCTTTAATTTCTGGAGGGTGTGTTGGGGGTCATTTTGAGTCTGGCATCATAAACTTGGCATGCTATTATGGCTAGCTAGTTATTTAATTTGATATTACATCTATTTAATTTAAAGTTTATAATGAAAAAGTTCCCTTGTACTTTTATATTTTGTTTTCTAGATCTGTGAAAGAAAGGTCAAACCCTTGTACTTGGTTGCCCTTTTGAAATCCCTGGGAGAAGAAAAATGCGTAGTTTTTACAAAATCTGTGGAATCTACCCATCGTCTCTGCAAATTACTTAATTGTTTTGAAGATCTGCAAATTGATATCAAGGAGTATTCTGGTCTTCAACATCAACGGGTAAGAAGGTAAGTTTTGATTCACTCACCCTAAACAGTTTGTTAATATTTTAAACTTTGTGCTGAATGCTCTCCATTGTAGACCGGACATCATTCAACACTTGTTCTGAAAGATTTTCATCTTTGGTTGAGTAGTGTGTTTACAGTTTAGACTTTATATTAGCTTATTTTAAGTTTGAAACGATTTACATTTAAAAGCTTACTAAAGAGTACTTTTGAAATAATAATTATGTATTTCAAATTTATTGAAAACTATGCATGCTGGGTTTTGACAAAAAAGTGTAACTCTGCAGCAAGACACTAAATGAATTTCGAAAAGGGGAGTTTCAAGTGCTTGTATCTTCTGATGCAATGACTCGTGGAATGGATGTTGAAGGGGTAAGAAATGTCATTAATTATGACATGCCCAAATACATAAAGACCTATGTTCATCGAGCTGGCAGGACTGCAAGAGCTGGCCAGACTGGGCGTTGCTTCACGTTGATGTCTAATGATGAGGTATGAAATTCTCTTGTCTCGTTCATGATCATTGTTTGAAAGGTAGTTAATATCTCCAGATGTTACTGAAGATCGAAAAACAGTATGTAAGTAATAGGTTCATTATGTGGGAAGTAGTGCAGATGGAAGTAATTAAATAGGTTCATCATGATGTGGTGGATGAGGGAGATTGTAAGTCTCTAGTTTTTTGGTTATGAGAAGAGAAAAGCAGAAGGCACTCAATTTGAACTCAACTAGTGTTACCAAATTCACTCCATTTTAGTCAAATTTGGGCTTTGAAGATTTGAGTTATTGGGTAATGAAGGATAAATACTTGGACTCCTAGGAACTACAAAACTAACTAACAAACCTGACCCATGAAAACAAAATAGATCTGCTGCACCCATGCCGAGAGCCACTGCCACTACACGACACCCACATGACAAATGCTACACCCATGTGACAAACATACTGTACCAAAGTGAGTCTCGATCCACATGAGTCTCAATCTTCAACAATGATCCAACGCAATCCACAAAAATCATGACCTAAAGGCAACACGAATCAAAGTGGGTGGGTAAGATTGTAGACTCATGATTTTTTGCTCTAGAGCAAGATTTTGACTACCTTGATTGTTTGTGCTAGATCCAATCTTATGTGCCAGTTGAGCCAATGGAAGAGGCTACTATATGACTTCATAATCCACTAACTAGATTCAACAATTACTCTCTTTTTGCTAGTAACATTCTTTACTCACTGAGCAGCTAAGTCCATCTCTAATATAGATTAGGTGAGTGTCTTATGCTCGATCCTATGCACATGATATATTATAATGGTGTTTTTCTTTTTACTAACTTTCCTTTTCTAGTAATTTTTTTTACTCAATATTTAACTAAGTTGATCACTAATATATAATAGTTGAGTGGCTTATTGTGGATGCTATGCACATGGTGTACATACACACATATTTAATATTTTTCTGAAAGATGCTGAATAAAATTCATGAAAATTTAATTTTTAATCTAGTTTGCATGGTGCATTTCATTTTCCCAAACTCACGTACTGGGATACGACTATTGCTGTTGGGTGCTTCATTGATGTTTTCTTTCTGCTGTGTTGTTTGTTTCTTGTAAATAAATTTAGAAGGATCTCTCTATCTTGCTGGCTATCTTCTGTCTTGTCTGAATTTCTTTTATAAAAAAGAATGAACTTAATTTGTTTTGGCTTTGAATAGTTACCAAAAGGATACAAGGACTTGATGATTTGGGCTTGTATAATTATCGTTCTGTAGTTTAGTTTATTCAATCACCATCAGGATTTGTTGGTACTCTGTCATCCCTGTGACAAATATAATTTGACAATACTGGAATATAAATATTATTGTTTTCCTAAATCATTCTTATTAAATTCTTGTCAACACTTTGTCCCATTCCAGGTTGGACGATTTAAGAAGTTGATGAAAAAGGCCGAGGCTAGTGCATGTCTTGAGCATACTATTCCATCCTGTTTGATAGAAGCACTTCATAGTACCTACCAATCAGGTAAAATATCTTAAATTCCATTTTAGGGTATAATGCACAAATACCTTTCTCAACCATTGCCATGAGTGGATAGACTATACATCAGATCAGTAGGCCGTTGGCCTTGTTTATAGGTTCATTTATCTCCGTGTAGTCTTCATGATAAAAAAAATTGGGAATTCAATCACTGTAGTTCCTGTTTCCGGTGGATCAACTGCCTCACTGGATGCTTGATCAGATTTTTGATACCTGGAAAAGGAATGACTGTAAAATATTACATTTGTCACCAAAGAAAATTTCTTAAACGTGATAAATTTTATGGTACATAGATCTGGGACAAGCTTTAATGCTTGGTTTTCTTTTTCTTTTTGCCATTTTAAAGTTACTCTCGGATGTTTCATAGAGTCAGTGTCATGGTTCCATTATAATTGTGCATGGACCTTGGATGAACTCAACTCTTGCTATCTTTTTATTTATGCTGTTTTGGATTTAATTACATGTTTCACTAAGTCGCTGACATGCTCCATTGTTGGCAGCGCTGTCAAAACTGAAGGAGATAATTTTGGAGACCCGGAAGAAACCCAAGGATAAGTCTTGTCAATAGATAAAAAAGTGAGAAAAAAATTTCATGGGAATAGCTTCCTCTTATTTATTTAGACAGTGGATTTAATTCATTTCAGGAGAAAACTAGCAGGCAGAAGTCATGTTGCTTGCAGCAATAGCACATGCTATTTCTGAAATCTGGTTCATTAGAAACCTCTTGTGGTTTGACAACTGTAGCAGCAGCAGATCTTAAAGTATAAAATATAAAAAATCTAATGTTTACATATGTGAACATAGCTGGTAATCATTGTACTGGAAGCATGAACTCTTCTATCAAGGAATTTGTTATTCTTAAAGCTTTTTGGGTCAACTGTCATCCTAAAGGATCTCCTCGGATAATTCAAGTAAATTGGAGACCTCCGGTGAAGTGTAACATTGATTAAGCCACCATCTGGATCCTTCGTCGGCTGTGTGGAGGTATTTTTAGAGGCTATAGAGCTGCTGTGATGGGTTGCTTCTCTCTACTTCTCTTGGTAACCAAACAGCTTGTGAAGCCGAGCTTTTAGAAATAATGCATGCTATTGAAGTGGCTCATAAGAAAAGATGGCATGATCTTCGGATTGAGAGTGGCTTTACCAATGTAATCAAAGTTTTTTCTAATTTGAGTATTGTTCCATGGAGGCGAGCTAATAGATGGCTGAATTGTATGGAGCTAGTAAAGGTCATGAGTTTTCACGCTTCTCACATATATAGGGAAGGAAATAGATGTGTTGATGTCGCAAATGGTATTAATAGTCAGGGATCATTTTGGTGGGATGTTTTGTCATCCTTCCTTAGTTAGACGTCTTTACAGGAATAGATACAATTTTGCTTTCTCTAGGTTTTAGTTTTTGGATTGGTCCCCATCTTTTGCCCATTATTTTACTTGACTTATGATATTTGAGGTATGTTGTGGATGATTGGTGATGACTGGGGTACTAACACAGTGATGTTTTTGCGCTATTTTATTTAAAAAAAAAAAACATACAGTACCATAGGTGAGGCAGGTTTTGTTGGTCAATTATAATTTGGAGTTTCACTAATACTAGTGTATTGTACAGAAGTAAAACTCCAAAAATTTATTTGGAAAACAAATCCAATCTGCATGCAACTTTTCTCCATTTTATTACTCTAGCGGAGTTGATATATTTTATGATTAATTTTATAATCATATTTATTACTGTTTAAATATATCATTATATATTATCTGTTTACTATTTTTCACTTAAAATGAAAAGAAATAAATAATATGCCACCTAAAAGCAGAGATACATAATTCAAATTTTACCCTTAAGTTAAACAACCTCCATTTAATAATTGTGAGAGAAGGAGGCTTTTAAGGCATTTTGATCCTTAACTAAGATCTGCAATATAATATAAAATAATTATTTTTTATTTTTAAAATAATCAAAATTTAATTAATAGTTTAAAAATATTATCTTCTAATTTACCGCAGTATCCACTAAAATTATTTAAATATTAAAGTGAAATTTATCTTGTATACTGGAATTTACCAAAAATTAGTACAGGATTACTTCTAAAGATGACAAAAATTAGTATAAGATTATTCTTAAAGATGGCCTAATGTTGAAGTTTGCAAGGTCATTCCTCTCATGTCTATACATGATCTTTAGTGAGGTAATTTAGACATACCAAGTCTATGTGATGCATAAACATGATCCTTGAGTGGTTGAACAAATCAAAGTTTTTCTTTTCAGGAAAATAAGGTGAGAGCCGGCCCTCAGATGATTCAGTTGAGTTTGATTCAGGGAAATCAAAGTCTATGTTACAAACTCCCTCTTCAGTGAATGGGATAAACAATTTTATCCAGAGTTTGTAGACAAAGGGCCACACGTTACACATGGATGTTGACTCTGAAAATGGTGGTCTGAAAGTTAACTCCAACTTCTTTGTTGCTGAGTCTGAAGGTCACGTTGGTGAGTAGAGATAATAATTAAATTTGTATTTATGAGATTAATTTGAAAAATCAAGTTGATGAAGAGATAGTAGCTTCGAGTTTTTCGAGCTTTAAAAAATTAGGTATAAGGACAGAGGTAGAGATGAATACTGTAATTTCGTTATCGCCTCACTTTATATTTAAATTTAAATTTTAAAATATTAATATTTTAAAAATATTTTCTTTTCTTTTTCATTATATATAATATTATTTTTTATATTTTATAATTTTACTTTTTTTACTTATTTTTTAATTTCTTTTATTTTTTTAATTTTTTATATTAATTAGTTCATTATATTATTCTTTTTCTTTTATCTTTCACTTTTTCATATTTTTTTAATCTCTCAAATCATTTTTTTTTATTTTTTCAACCAATTTAACAAACACAAAATTAATTTTTCTTTTTCTTTATCTTTTTCTAAATATTTTACATAAATATTATTAGTAATTAATATTATTTTATTTATAATTTATCTTTATTAAATTTTATTATGTCATATTTTTTTATCTTATTATTTTTATTTATCATATATATATATATATATATATATATATATATATATATCAAATTTTATCTTAATAAAATAATTATATTTTAAAAGATTAAAAATAATTAATAATTAATAATTTCATTACTTTAAACTAATTAGATAAAAATTAACTTATTAAATATTTTTTTATAAACTATATATTTCATATTTTTAAATGACAACTTAAAAAAAATTAACCTCCATATAATCAAATGTTTTAATATAATATAATAATAATAATATTATTATTATTATAATAAATATTTTATATCTATATAAAGAAAAAGGTATTAAATATATTTTTACATATATATTTTAATATAAATATAATAAATTAAAATATATTTAATTAATAATAATTATAAATTATAAATATTATTTATATATAAAAAATATTAAAATATTAAAATATTAAAGTTAATTTATTATAAGTATAATTATTTTTTTAAATAATGTAAATTGAGAATATGATAAAGATGGAGAAATCTAACGATGATAAATTTTTAAATCCAACAAGAATCGAAAGTAGGACCGGAAACTGATTAAAATGGTTGTTGCGAGATCGGTGAACCAAAATCCGCGAGCTCCCGTGCCCATCTCGTTAGTAGAAAATCGAGAAAAGTGATCGAAAAACAAAGGAAAGAAAAATCGAGAAACATGTGATTTATTGATAAATCGAAAAGATGGATGAGAAACCATTCGATGTTCAATTAGAAGTGCGTGGCACATAAAATTGAGAGGTAGAATCAAGAATCGAAGGAATAATAGTTAAATGTCTATTGTCGAATAAAAACCAAGAAATTAGAAGTATATGACGTTAAGGTTAAAAGGAATCGAAAGCAATTCAAAGTTCTCGAGATCTTAAAATCGAAATTGAGGGGAATTAACTTACGAGGATATCGAAACCTTGGCCAAATCATAACGAGAAGAATAGTTAAACACGCGAGATAGGAAGCGGTTTTTAACCGTGGCGGAGGTCGAAGATCATGGGAACGTGGGTGCGGTTTTAACACCACAGGAAAAGAAACCGCAACATGCACGAAGAACGTGGTAGCAGTTTCGTTAACTGCTCCTAAGAGACTACTTGAAAGATGATCTATAAATAGAGCAAAAGATGAAAGGAAAGGGGAGGGTGGAAAAAAATTGGCAGAGAACAGAAATACTAGTGAGAAGTCTACCGGAGAACGACGAACATCATGAAGTTTCTGGCGATCTGAATTTCCATGCTCATTGAGTACTTTACCGCTTTCTTTATTTTCCCTGGTAATCTAATTTGATGCAATTTATCTTTAACAACTTTAAGTTTCTGTACTTTCGATTCCTTGTCATTTCCTTTAATGAAAGTTAAGTTTCCGCATTTAAGCTTCTTGCTATTTATATTTCTGTAATCTCAATTCCTTGCTATTTACATTTTCGCGTATTTCAATTTCCTGCCAGTTATATTTTCTGCAATCTCGATTTCCTGCCATTTACATTCTCGCTATTCCAATTTCTTATCATTTAATGCAAATTTGAGGTTTCTGCATTTTTACCTTTTGGCAATTCAATTTTCTGTTTTGCTTTTCGATTCGACGCTTCTATTGCTTTGTTTACTTTGAACCTTTTAAACATAAAATACCAAAAACAACATTTTCAATACTATGTAAATTTCGATTCTCATATGCATTTCAATTGAAAATCAATTTGCTAGCCTAAGTAAAAAAGAACTTGCGTGGTTGAATTTTGATTAGAATCAAAACATCTTAAGAATCAGAATCGATCGAAATTCCACCAGAAACAAATTGGCGCACCAGGTAGGGGGCTTGTGTTGAAAATACACAAAATTGGTTAGTTTGAAAGTATATGAGATTAAGGAGTGGATGAGTTATAAGAATGAGTCAGAATCCACCAAATAACCAAAGTAACAGTGAGGGTCTAAATGGTGCATATCCACCAAATACTGGGGGGCAAAGTTATAATGGGAATATGCCTGTAATATCGACAACCGTGAGTATGTCGATACCTGTGAGTAATGAACAAAATGCAGGCACATTAGCAAACACCCAAGTAGGATCTAGTACGGTGACACCAAACAATATGCAAACTATGGGAAACCCCATAACAACGAATGCTGGGCCATACATGAGCGTAAGACCACCTGGGTTTTCGCTTAATATGAATGGGGCAGGTACCTCTTCGATACAACGAAACTCGAGATTTAACCTAGGAATTCCTCAGAACTCAGGTACCTTTCAAACTCTAGGTATGCCACAAAATTTCGGAGTCTCTCCGAATTTAGGATCTCAAAATTTAGTAACCCCTCAGAATTCAGGGAGTGGGCAGAATTTAGGTACACAACAGACACCTCCAAATCTAGATCACAGAGCAAATCTGGATCATGGGAGAAATGCATTCGATAGAGATTATCATCGGTCTAATTTTGAGACTATTGAAAACACTAGTACTGGGATCTCCAGCAACTCACTAGGAGTACTTAGACAACAAATGGATGAGAGCAATTTTGAGATGGTGAATATGTTATCACAACAGTTGACT